ATAATAAATAATGATAATAATAATAATAGTAATAATAATAATAATAGTAATTATTATTATTATTATTGATAATAATGATAATTATTATTAAATTACAATGATAATTATGGTAATAATAATAGTAGTAATAGTAAAAAGTTGTAGCAATAATTCATCGACAACGGTAGTTGCAAGAGTAGAACATAAGTAAAGTTAGCTCGTCAACATTTATGGTTATAGCAAAGAGAAGTGTTTAGGAAGTAGATGCAAAAGAAGGGGTTGGGGAGGATGGGGGGGGGGAAAGGGAGTGTTGATTTGGGGTTAGTTGGACGAGGAGAGCGTAAAGTAGACGACAGCAGGACCGCCTTGCAAACAACTCTTCCAATAATTTTGTTCATTCGTACTTCTTTCCGTCCTCGTCTTCCTCCATCAACCGTTGTTTGGTATATGTGTATGTATGTATGTGCGTATGTATTGCAGTATTGCTGATGGCAAGTGATCAGGCAGTAACAGCAAACGGCAACAGCAGCAGCCGGAGCAGCACGGCACACAGTAATGCATTTTGCATGTTGTGTGTGTGGTTGTCCGATGAGATGATAGCCCAGTGTGTCGAATTTTTCGTGCAAACGACTAAATACCGTCATCATTTCCCGAACTTTATTCCCCAGCAAGAGCAATAAGTTGAGTGTGTAAGTAATAACTGTAGGTACTGGTCGTAGCAATGGTAGTAGTAAATGATTAGGAATATCATTAGTGATAGTATTTATTGTACTTGTCGTAGCGGTAATAGTAATGGTAACGACATACAATAATTTGATCTGGTGGAAAATGCTAAAACGAAGTATCACAAGGAATTTATTACGGTTCGAATAGCAGTGTTGAAGCGTTATGATTTCGAACAGTTGCCATCTGCATGACAAGGAACATTTAGCAATCGATCAGATCGGTTGAACAACTCTAGTTTTCGTCCTCTCGCTGCTGTGTTGTTGCTGGCTGTACGCTGGATGAGTGCCTTCCTTCATCATCGGATGATTTCACTTGCTAGCGACAGTTCGCTTGATGGAATATATTTCGGATTCCAACTATTACAATTATTTGGATAGTCTGTGCAATTTAATAGAAATTAATTTTTGCTGAATTATTTTTATCACTGAAAGACGTCAGACGAAATCAGGATATATGTTAACAAATAAAAAGAGAGAGAAAAAAAAAAGAAATTGGTGAGGGCAGTAGGCCTTCACCGTGATCTACAGAATGCTGTCATATTGAGTCTGAGATCATAGTGAAAGCTATTTGCCTTCTACCGTCCCCAAATATGCATGCATAGCTTGCAATTTCAAACTCTTTAAAACCTCGGTTTGCTGTAATTTTGTGCTTTCGTTTTATTTGCTGAAATGCCATATACTCGTTTTTTTCTTGTTTTTTATTTTGGTAGATTTAGTCATAGGAATAATTATGAGTGGAATAATTTTAGGAGTATTCCAGTACTTTTGATGAAGAGTTTGAAATTTTCTGACTGACAGAATCGAAATTTCATTAGTTTTGATGTGATTTATGTATGGGTGGATGATGACGTATGAGAATTTCAAAGTGGTATGAAATCCAAAGTATTTTGTTAAATATTTAGAGAAAAGAAACGTAATGGTGGATATAGTCGCCGGGCGTGTTAACCGTGTGTTGGAAACGCTGGAATCGTTTAGAAGCCAGTGGACACCAGCTGTAGCACGGCAGATTGATCTTGTACGTCGTGTTTATAACGAATTGTTGATTGATGATGATCCAGAAGCAGAATTGTCGGTAACTGCGGAGGTGGTACTTGCGCAGGCCATGGAAAAACTAGGCGACATGTTGCAGGAGGTTTGTACTTGCAGGACTAAACCTTTCTTCTTTTTTTTCTTTGGCAGTTTATGAATAGATTTCGTAGAAATAGAAAAAGTTTGTAATATTACAATTTCATGAAGATGCTTTTTTTTCGCAGTTTCTTTTGATATTTGTAAAAACTTCTTCAAAATTCGAAAAGTCGCAGAAGTAAATTGTTAAAAGTCTTTTTGGAATAAATGTTCAGTTTCATTTGAGATGGCACATCAACACCGGAGTACTCATCAAATGTTGTCAAAGATTGGCAGAGCTATCGACAGATATTTCGTCACCGACCTTAGTTCTTTAACGAAAATTGATAAGAATATTGATACAGATCCAAGATTGCATGGCAGAGTGAACGCTCTCATTACCAATCATTTGACGAGTACTGGGAAATTCGATGTTGCAGATATTCTGACGAAAGTAATCTAATTTTAACAGTTGTTTATAATTGAAGGTAACTAGCTAAGGATGCCGAATGTAGAACTGAAAGTTTTTTTTAGGAAGCGCAACTACCAGCATCGGAAGGTTTGGAGTTCAATGTGGATGATATCCGACATCTAATGGAAGCGTTTCAGAAAAGAGATATTACGCCTGCACTCCAGTGGCTCAAGCAAAATGCTTCTCGAGATGAACAGTTGATTTATGATCTTCAAAAACAACACTTTGTCAAACTTTTGGAGGATGGTACGGTGCATTTACAGCTTTGAACTGGGAAGCGAATAACTGTAATTAGAGAAACTATTCATATTTTCAGGGCAGACTATGGAGGCCTTGCAATACAGCCGCCAGCTTTCGAAAAATCCGGAAGAGATGATGCAGTTGTTGTGGGCAGTTGTTGCTAAAGACCGTAAGACACGTTATCCTGATCTTTTCAATCCTGTCGTTTGGCAGCAACTGGAGTTGCGACTTGCTCGAGTTATGTCTCGATCAGAAAATTATCTCAGTCAAATGTATATTCATTACATCTGTGCATTTCGGCTGACAAAATTCTAATCGCCTCAAGTTTCTTGACATAATTTTGTAGAAATATGAAGTGTAGGATCATTTCAAAACCTTTGATATTCTTCATATTCGGACGTGTTACTGTTGCCATACTCACACCTTAGGAAGTAATTCCCAAAGCGCTGCTTTTGTTTTAATTTTCCAAAGCTCATTTATATATTATAGCGCCAACATACGAGGGAATCAGCAGAGTTTGCTTTTTACCCATAGATATTTGGATTTATTTATCCGTTTCTGAAATTCAAGATTTGAGTAGGAGCCAAGATTTGAAACATCCAATGTTTTTGGAACAGTGTTTCTATATTTACTTTAGTCTCGAACTTGGTATCAGAATGGTACCATCACTCATCAGTCTTCGTCAGCTAATGGTGAATCGATCACTGGAATCATTATTTCAAGGTGACGAACTGCCGATTGAAGTGGATGTACCAAATGCTACGCATTCCGTATTTGCTTGTCCAATTCTTAAGGTTCTTTTTTGTTCAATAGGAAAAACTTTACGTCCCGCAAGTAGTGAAATTACTTTGTAGCTTTGATTCCCGGATGTTTTTTCAATTTCCGGAGTGCTTAGAATTTCCAGAATTTTGCTGCAAGTCAGATTTATGCCAGATTGCTTGTATATGCAGGCACAGTGTACAGAGCAAAATCCTCCAATGCGTCTTACATGTGGCCATGTAATTTCCCGAGAAGCGCTTCACAAATTAGCCCAAACAGGACGTTTTGTTGCGCCGACCAATTTGGCTCCATCCAATGCATTCAGTCATATCCGTTTAAAGTGTCCATACTGTCCTGTGGAATCATCAGTAGCTGATGCGAAGAGAGTATATTTCTGATATCCCTTTCATCAAATATATGTCATTTGTTATACATATGTCCTGTGTATACATTTATTGATTGTTTGTAGTTTACATGTATTGATTGTTTACAGTTACCGACTAATTTGTACCATTCTTTGGCATTCATTACACAATCGATCGTTTCAAGGTGAAAATATTGGTATGAGATTACCACTACCTCTTCTTTGCCGTCGCTTTACTGCACCCTACACGAAGATTATCGATGCTGATAAAGTTTTTCCAGGGTAGGTAGTATAGCTCAAGTAACGATACTACTGTTAAACTATTGTAAAATGTCCTTGCATGTGCAACTCTGTCCCTTATAATGCCCTTCGTCTTCCTGACCTATGTTTGGAATTTCCTTCCCTTTCTCGTCTCTCTCGGTGACTATGACTTGCTGTATTCCATGTACAATATACTTTCTGCATTGTAAACACGATTTATCCCTTGTCTACTGTCAACCTTGAAATTACTAACGAATTTTGACTTGCATACCGTTTTTCCTGAATTCCTGTTCGGCGCACTGATTGGGGTTGTACATTTCAGAATACACCGTTTCTGTGTAGTGCACCTCTCATGAAATTTTGGTTAAAAGATTTTTGCATTCTTAAAGGTTGGATATAAATCTTGACAAAATTCCATCCCTAATTCTTCCCTCACGCAAGCTGTGGAGTCGTTGAGCAGGCAACAGTTACACATTTGTACGTATCGATTGCCAAAATGTCTAAGTCGTCCGTTTGTATCTCTGTGCTCTGTAGTGATTCCTTCTGAAATTTTTTTTTATCTCTAGATACTCGGATTTCACCCATCTGGCCTTTCAACTCATTTTTAGTTTTCTCAATGATTAAGCTGTTGATACTGTCTGCCCTTATGGGAAAGTTCCTTTTGTTTTTGAAATTCTAACTCTTAATGGTTTTTGAATTGATTTTCTTTTCAGTACGAGAATCATTTCAAACCAGTATGTTTTAATAAATAAGGATCCGTACAATCGAAAGAATACGATTGTACTGAGCAACTTTGATACTGCGCAAAAATGCAAAGACTGATAGATCTTAACGGATCTTAACAAGCCACTCACACGGCTACTTTTCAGTGTCGAACCATTTTACGGCTCAGTTGTCGCATCCAATTGTCCGATGGGCACGTTTTGGGCGGATACAAATTATAACCCAAAAGTGTCAAGACGCCATCTCTATTGGAGGAAACAACATATTCCATTCAAGGGAAAGATTTGATTTCCCCAAATTATATGACTAAAGTCATGGACGTGAGACGTTGCCTATCATCTGCACAGACAGCTGGACCGAACTGAGACTTCTGTTTTGTAATGTGAGAACTACCAAATACCCATCATGCTTTAAACTAGCGGTATATAGCAAGAGGGATTCACTTTCTCCGGCGAATACGTAGTGCCTTCCAAATCAAAAAGTGAGTGCCGGTACGTCGCACATGCTGAGATTCTCACCCCCACATCCTCCCCTGACAAAGTTGAGATTTTTCACCAACTAGACAACACCTAAAATTTGAGTCGCTCGAACTAAATCTCTAATTACAGAGGTGAATTCAGAGTAGCCTTCCCCGATATATATTGTTATTCCTCTGAAAATTTTTTCATGTATTCCTCAACTGAACAGGAAAAGCTGTGCGCTGCCAAATGTAATTTAACTCACTGGACTTTAAGAAACCAAAGAACTAACCAAAAAAAAAGCCATATTTGATAACTTGTCGCATATTTTTCAAAGTTGAGGAAAAATTATGGGGAAAGAATCTAAAATGAAAAACCAAAGTTTGAAACTCTTCTGTAAGAGTGTTGCACCAAGGAACCTTACAAGTTAAAGTTTTATAAAATCCACAAAAAAATCCTAATGCAGAATAAAAAAAAAAATTTAAAGCATTTTTCAACATATCAAAATTGACAAATTATGCAACATAGCAAGTAAAAAAAAGTTCAGAAAGATAAAAACATAGCATTTTCATAGGGGCAACGAATTCAGGATAGATGCCAGACAGCATGTATGGTAATGATATGAGACATCATCACTTCAAACAAACCAACAGGGAAGAAAAAAAAATGGAATAAAACCGTATACAAGGAGAGATACCATAAAACATTAACAAAATCAAAATTGAAACAGCAAAGAAAAAAAAAGATTCATTGGTTTTTCCAAGCGTATAATGCGCTGCTAAAGCTTTAGGCTGTAACCAATATTGGCATTAATAATAATAATAATAATAATAATAATAATAATAATAATAATAATAATAATAATAATAATAATAATAAAATTGCCACGAATAAGCAACAAAACTGAAACAAAGAGATAATTTCGGATGACGATCATTCCCGGGTAATATTATGGATAATGAATTTCGTAAGCTTAAAGGTAAATACATGTATAAGGACACACATAAACACACACACAGACAGAGACATACACACACACACACATACATAAACATATACACACACACACACACACACACAGACCGATATAAAATGTCGCATCCAGATCCCAGAATACGCAAATCAGTACCATTAAAATTACCCATCTACAAAAAAATTACCCAGCATATATAACAGATACATAGATATACATACACCCACACAATTGCACTGATAAGGGAAAAAATGAAAGGACTCCATGAAGCATGTCAAAAAGAATTAATAAAATACTTGGAAAAAAAACAACGACGGAAAAAGCTCGTGGTATTTGTCACGAATGCAACAGGATGGAAATTTCTAAAGCAGTACGGTAACTGAGACTTTCAGATAATAAATTAGTGATGATATTCAATTTACCTATCCCCGGAAGTCGGAACATATTCACATGCATACTTTAATCGAGCCAAATATTGTCGCTGTTGCTGTCTACAGTGCAGTGAACAACTTGTTGAACTAAACTTCACAGATCATTCGCTTAATATCTTAAACTAATTGAATGACCTCCAACTAACAACTTCAACTGACTTCCATGATGTACAAATTATTATCTTTCAAGCGTCAAAAAAAGAAAAAAGGAATGAAAATTTTCCAGAAGCAAATGATGGAACGATTTCAGCTTAAAACTTTAAATCCTTAATTCCAAACATTCATAAATTGCCCATCCAATCCCATCAGAACATTCTAATTAAATGTTTTACAAAACAGCTTCCTTTTTCCTAACCTCATTGAATTTCAGAAATATTAAACACGAAAAAAATAAAACTTAAAAAAACATGCAGTGGAAAATATGCAATAAAACGAAACTAGAAACCTTCGACTCAAACTGACACAAGGAAATGATCTACAGCTGAAGCATAAAGGAAGAGCGTTGAAACAAAAAACCAGTCTTGCTGATTCATTTGGAAAAATGATGAAAGCATTCAGGTATCATAACAAAAGCACAAAACATGTGAATTCATCACAGCTCATATTACGCTAATCTCACTTTAGAAATTGCCATTTCAGCCAAAGGTGAAATTTTAGTACGGTGCAAAACGATTCAGCGTACGATACGTAGCTGCTGCCACAGCCGGATAGCCTGGCAATGCCGCTGTTAATGCTTGACCGAGATACTGCTCACCAATGGATGTGGTACCAGCTGTATTTGCTGCAGCATTACGCGCTGCCGCTGCCGCTGCTGCTGCCATTAAAGCCGGATTTGCTGCTTGAAAAAGACAGGTGAAGATTTATAAATGAAGAATTTACAGATGAATGATCAGAAAACTATTGGAGAAAACCAGGAATAACGAGACATGCAGAAAAATTAATGAGTCGAAAATTTTGAAGTCTATTTAAATTAAACTTCAACAAAAAGCAATTACTAAACTTACGACAGAATCATTTATTTTCCCATGACACTCCCAGAGGAAAAACAACATACCCTGTGCAGCCACAAGCTGCAAACGTGCTTGCTCAGTTAGCAATGTCGCTGGATCGTAAGACTGCTGCAGTGGTTGAGTAGTTGTTTGAGGCAACTGAGCAGCACCTAATAAGAGACCCTGATTCTGCATCTGAGCTGCCAGAGCTGGTGTAATGAAACTTAACTGCTGCGGTTGTCCAAGTGCAGCAAGCTGATTTTGCACGTTGAGATTTTGCAAATTCCGAACTGCTAACGCTTGTGCCAGCGGATTCCGTAAGTATAATGCACGATTTGCTGCGGCCGCTTGCTGAAGTGCAGCACCCTGTAATGCGGCAACCGCCAAACTAGCATCCACCATTCCTGGAAAAACGCATACACTCTGTGTAAATTTATGATCATGTCTCTCTTGCTCCAAAACAAAAAAAAAAAGAAAAAAAAAGAAAAAAAAAAATAGGGACTGAAATTGTTCAAACTCTTAATATAATGATAATTGATAATAATGATAAAATATATCGAATTTAAGGGCAGCAAAATATAAGCGCCGTGAACTATTTGCGTAATCCGTTCCGTTCCTTTCTCTACTTATTTTCACTATCTTTTTTTCGCGTTCTTCTTTTCTCTGGAATTTCTTTTGTTCTACAAGCAATTTTTTTCCACTTCATAGTTTCAAATTCCTAAATTAAAATTTTGCTCAATTATGAATCTTTTTGGATACAAAAACGAAAGTACGGGAAAAAGGAAAAAACATTTTGCAAACTATTCATGCATAGTAAAATGTGGTAGCATAAACCATAAAAACTTCCAGCGTAACTTGACAAAACATGCGCGGGCGCCACAAGTGCAGCGCGTGAAAATGAGCACTGTAAATCGACAAAACTGCAAAACATTCAGTACCTTTTTTTTTTTAAATTCCGAACTTACACTTCAAACTTCTATATCTTGACTCAAAAAATGCGCTTTGTCTGTGCAGTTTGTTTGCACGTTAAAAGAAATGCTAATGGTGGCAGTAATAAGAGTAATAATAATAATATTAATAATAATGATAATAAATAATTATTATTATAATAGTAATAGTTACAACAAAAAACATACCATCAGACATAGCTGCCCTTACTTTTTTAAACAAATATATGCAGAATTTCAATAAGATTATTTGAAGCAACAACGCGTAAAAGGTTCAACTGCATGCAATAAAAAAAGCACGGAGCCTGATGGCTGTTACAAAATCTGCACCTTTCTTTCATTTTTCAACACATTTTTAAAACGTGCAATCGATCATTTTACATGCAAACCAATTTGCATAATTAATTTCCACCAAATTTCATCTGCATAACTAACTGGCGAGATTAATTAGTTACGCAAACCAAGTTTTACTCCATGCAATTTTTCCTTTTTGATGGAAAAATGCAGACAATGCATGAAATTTGGAAAAAAAAAACACCAAAAAGAAATACAAATTTTTCGAAAGGATTGAAATGAGGAAATTGGTAACGCCACTTCCTCTCTCACTCTCCTTTTTTTTTTAAAAAAGAAAAAGATAAGATAAAGATTTCGGCTCACCGGGTGCGACTTTCGGCTTCTTGGTGTGTATACGGGCAGTGGCGCAATTCACCTCAAAAAAGGCGACTATTAGGCAGTCGTCCGGAATAACTTCCACAGTCTTATTCTTTCTTATTTTCTTCTTTTTTTTATTGTTTTTGATTGTGAGAAACATGCCAGCGAAACGTACGATGAAGAAAAAAGTAAGCACCGCAAAAGAAACATCTGCCGAATATCAACAGATCTAAGAATATGTGTTTATAAAAAACAAGAAAAATATATTCCCCCATCGAAAATTTGGGATTTCAAAGAATTCAGAAAATCATCGTCAAATGTAAAAAGATCGAATTCATATACATCAGACAAATAAGGGGAAGTAAAAGTCGCCCAGTGATGGGGAAAAAAGCTTGCTGGAATACTTGGTAACGTCCGGGACGGAATGGAAGCAATAGATATAGTCGTTTTGATACATATATGTATATACATATATATACATATATATATACATATATATATATATATATATATATATAGTACATATATAT